ATCGAGGCAAAAATTAGTCAGCATGATGAAGAGGAAGGTTATATGCTCACTTCTTCTTCTAAACTTCTATTAAAAGATGAGCCTCTTAGCTTGACAGCATTTTTATTATCCATGCTTGATCCTACCTTGATGGATCCGTGGTACCACCTTAGCCAGTGGTTCCAAAATTACAGTGATGTGAATCCCTTCAAGACTTGTCACGGCAAGGTAGCGTGGGAGCTTGCAGGCCAGGATCAGAAGCTTAATAATTTTTTTAATGAAGGAATGGCTAGCGATTCTAGGCTAGTTGGCAGTATTCTGATCAGGGATTGCAAGGATGTTTTTTCAGGGTTGAATTCTTTGGTGGATGTTGGAGGTGGAACCGGAACTTTGGCTAAGGAAATTGCTAATGCTTTTCCTGACTTGAACTGTATTGTTCTCGATCTTACTCATGTGGTTGATGGCTAGGTAGCGAACAACAAGAATTTAGCCTTTGTTGGAGGAGATATGTTTGTAGCTATTCCTCCTGCAGATGCTGTTATAATGAAGGTAAGTCCACCTTTCCAAGAAGATGCAACAGATCCATATTCACCTTTTTGTTGTTGTTAGAGGCATTCTTAGTACTGACTCTAAACACATCTATATATGCTGCTGATTCATTACAACCATGTCTATATTACAGTAAAGCATTGGATCAGTCATGGAAGTTTATTCACAAATAGGGCACTAGCAAATCTTTGTCTTGGGGGGGGGGGGGGGCTTCTGTACCTGTTTTCAATTTCAATTCTCTTTAATAACTTTAACATGGTGTTCTTGACTAATTTGAATTCTTTGTGATATGAATGCTAATTTAAACAGTGGATATTGCACGATTGGAATGATGAGGAATGTATACAAATACTTAAGAAGTGTAAAGAAGTAATTCCTAGCAAGCAAAATGGAGGGAGGGCGATAATCATAGACATGGTACTGAATGACCAGCAAAAGGGAGCTGATGATGATGAGGCAATTGAAACTCAACTTTTCTTTAATATGCTGATGATGGTCCTTGTCACAGGGAAACAAAGAAATGAAAAAGAACGGGCAAAACTCTTTTCTGAGGTAGGATTCAATGACTATAAGATAACTTCAGTACTGGGCTTGAGATCCCTTATTGAGGTTTATTATTAGGAGTTGTGGATAGTTTCTTTGGACTGTTTTTGTTAGACGTGCATGAAGTCAACATGTTTATCTTTTCTTCTTTTACGTACAAATATCAAAAAAGAATTGTAATCTTTTGTGGCATTTTCTTTTCATTTTCAATAAATCAAAAAAAAAAATTTTTGGACGTGGAAATAGCTATGCAAGAGTGTTCTGTAGAGCAATTCTGTAGGGCGGACAAGGGGCACAAACGGTTGCAGGTGCAACCGTTTGTGGCGGTTTGTGCATTTTTCAACAACGCGTAACATTTTTTACACATCGCATAACTTTCTTTACACATGGAGTAACTTTAGAACAAATTTTTGTGGGCCCCACACATGACGTGAAAATCGAGTTACATGCTGTAATTTGAGCCGCACAAATTTTTGAGACCACATCGTAGCCGTGACCTTTCAGGAACGGTTGTCAGCCCCATTTCCCTGTAGGGCGGGCCTGTAAGTTTCATGCTCAGCAGCTCCTAGGACGATCTTGACTATTTATTTCTTTTCATGGCCCGTCCAAGGGAAAGTATTTGAGGAATCATTCGTATAACCCCAGGAGACAGACTAGGGGGCAGAAAACTTAGACCCAACAATTAGCCCATTGTTCGTAGGGATGTAAATGAGTTTAACGAAGATGAACACTCTAGTGTTTAAACTAGTTTAATTATTTTAACAAATTTAAAATTTTATTTTAATTTGATTTGTTTATTTGTCCAATCAAACTTGAACGAGTTTTTATCGAATTTGAATGTTATCGAATATCAAATGCTATTCAAGTTTGGAATGACTAGTTGGCGAATCAAACCGAAACGAACTCTTAAATTCAGTTCAAGTATCGAATAGATTAGTTCATCTATCAACTCTAATCGTACGGTTTCAATTTCTGAATTTTCCTCATCAAAACCTTATTCTTTTTTCTTTTTTGATGGTTTTATACAACTTATCAAAATATAACTATGCAGTAATTTCTTTTCACCTTCACACGATGAGGCAAGAATTTCAAGAGTAAGGTATTATAAATTCTATATGTATGTTCAATTGTCAAAATGAAAAAGCTTTTACACAACTCAATAATGAAATTACGCCATATTTGACCTTTTTGTTACTTTTTCCTTTCACTTTTTTTTTTTTTCAAATAAGCAAAGAAATAGCACATAAAAAAAACTTTTTACACAACCCAATCAATTCAGTAATTGGAAGGGGGAAAAAATCAATAGAGTAGCTGGACAAATACCCAAAGTTGTAGGTGAAACCAAATATGTTGATGTTCAAGATTGTACTGATTGAAAATGTAGGACGGTGATAAAAAAATATAACAGTAATTTTAAAATTGCCACCGTTGATGTTCAAAATTGCGTTTTATTTCATGAAAATTACATCCAAAAAGTATAACAGTAATTCCTTTCCTAAAATCTCTTCCTCAAAATGCAATTCAAACAACCTCTTAATTTTCTTCAAAGGAAAGCTTTTAGAGCTCAAGCTAACATCACTCGCACTAGTATCACCTAACCTGTTTTGCAGCTTCCCTTCATCCAATATGAAAACATCAAGTGTAGGAGCTCATGTCAACTCTTAATTAACATATATTCAAGGTAAATATTTACTTTAAAAAGAGATGGACAATCGTTTCTAGTTGGATTACTCTCACTATATTTATATATTTTGCTTTTAACACCTGGAGACTTGATGATGTATGAGTAGTTTTCTAAGTTCACGGGCCAAAGTTGAAGATTTCCAAATTCAGTTTTTTATTTCATAGATAGATATACATAACCAGGATTCAAACTCATGGTTTGCTCGTAATCTTTATTCCTTGTTGCTAACCGTCAAATGTGCTTACATGTCGGTTGTACTCCGTTCCACTTTGCGTATTGTGCATGAAAACTGAAGATGAATAAAATAGGGTGTCACTAACTATTGACTAGTGAAGCTTTGAAAAAAAAAAACAGAAATAAAGAAAAAGAGAGCTCTTTCTGTAAATGAATTAATTTCTGAAGATGCATGCCACACTTTCTTACCTAAAACCATAGTTATTAAACTCGGCCCGACCCGATGTTGAATCGGTCAAATCGGTGGATGGGCCATGAAATCGAGTCGATTTAGCAATTGGATTGGAGTTGTAGATGATTCGTTTTGAACCATTTGACTCGAATAGTCGAACCTATGACCCATTAAATCTGGTAGTTTGTTTATGAATCCAATTGGTTTTGAAAATTTTTCTGAAATTACCTTTTTACTCATTTTTTAAATTTGACCAACCACACCAACATTGGCATTGTCATCTTTTTGACAATTAGATGAGAAAAATTAAAAAGGAATTTGAGAATTAGGGTTTTTTTCTTTATTTGATACTTAGATTTATCATTTATATTTGTGTATAATATCAACATGAATTCATGAACTAAAGAACACGTACAGTTATAGTTTGTATGTATAAATTATGAAATATAAATATGTTATGACTTGTTAATATTTAAGAATTTTTCTACTTATATTATAATTTATATGTTTATTTAATCATATTATATATATTTTTTATTATATAGTGTGACCCGTTGGTTAAATCACTAATCCGCCAACCCTTGCTCCCATCGAGTTGATGCCCGGTTGATTTTAATAACTATGCCTGAAACCACTTGTTAGTGTCTCCACCCAGACTGCAAAATCTGCATGCCTATTTGCCCAACTCGAAAAATTCAAATTTAATGCATTTGGGCCCAAATTAATTAATTATTTATTTTTACCCCAAACTGTAAAACTTATGCTAATATTTGCAATAACATTTTTTCAATGGAAAAAGCCCTCAAGTACACATAAGAACACCGATACTATACACAAGAGATGCAAATAAAATCAACTTGGAAAACATTCAGAATACAATCCCGGGCCCGAAGCTATCTGCCACAATTCAGTATCTTAGCACTTCATTAGGCAAATCCTATCTCAGTTTGCGTTCTAACTACTAGATTGTCTTAATCCAGCCGTATAAAGTTGAATCTTTCAAACCACCTGTTAGAATTCTAGATTTTTACTTTTTGTTTAGAATTCTAGAAGTTGTTTTTAACGTTATCCCTATACAATCTAGTGATCACAACAAAAAATTACTTGAGTAATACAATATCATCTTTTGCAGACAGCTTATAGGCTTTAGCCTTCTACTATTTTATGTGAGAGGCCACATTAAACAAAATTTCCTTGACGAGTCAAAATTAGAGAATCGACCTTTTGCGAGCCCATTCAAAATTAAAAAGCATCCCGACACTAATTTGAGATTTTCTAATAAAAAATTTCCAGACCACCATTGTAGTGAACAAGGAAGGTGATAACATTTTTGTTGGATTACCTTTTCTGTAAATGCTTGTAACATGGAAGAGGTCTGCCATCAAGAATAAGGCAAAACAAATGCTACCCCGTCGATCCTCGGAAAGCTAGTCAAGCCCCCATAACCATTTGTTTCAACTTTTATGTCACCATCAATGGTGGCTGCTTCAATTTACTCTCAGTCTTGCTCGTGGTTCATTCGTTTTGAATTTTCTCAGTTACTAATTAATAATTGCAATTGCGTCAGCAATTAGATAGTTTAATCGAATTACTTGGGCGTATTTATTTGGTTTGGTGAAGTTTGACACCTCTAGATCTGCCAAACCTATTTAGATAATTTGTAAACGTGGAAACCAATCGGATATAGCCTCATAGGAGGCGCAGGAGGCATCTACCGCCATAATTTAGGAGCAGATATGCACTGCTACCCATAATTTACTAGCATATAAATGCAGTCCTGCTTGACCATTTGTTGTTTAATCAGGCAACTGAATTAATGCCATTGAATTTGAACAAAAGATGGAAAAAGTTGAGAATTTAGGTGAGCTTATTGAGGCTCAAACTCATTTGTGGAATGCAATGTTCCACTTCAAGAAGTCTGCATGTCTAAAATGTGCAGTTGAATTGGGAATCCCAGATGTGATCAGGAATCATGGGAAGCCCATCACACTTTCTGACCTGATTTCTGTCCTCCCAATCCACCCTTCTAAATCTGCCCGCATTTTTCGCTTAATGCGATTCTTGGCTAACTCTGGATTCTTTGTTGAAAACCCTCAAGGCTATGCACTCACCTCTGCAGGTCGGCTTCTTTTGAAGGATGCCATTCAATGTACGGGCACACATTTTTCTATCATGTGATCCTGCCCAGTTGAAGCCCTGGAATTTCTTGACCGAGTGGTTCCAGAATGATGATCCCTCTCCATTTGATACCACATTGTGGAATAATTTCTGGCATTACAACGCTCAAGAAGCTCGATTTGGAAAAATGTTTAACGAGGCCATGGGTAGTGATAATCAGTTGTCTGTAGAAGTGCTGATAACCAAATGCAAGTCTGTGTTTGAAGGCTTGACAACTTTGGCTGATGTTGGGGGTGGCACCGGCAAAGTTGCTAGGGCATTGCCCAAAACTTTCCTAACATAAAATGTACTGTGTATGATCTCCCACACGTCGTTGCTAATCAAGGAGCTGAGAACTTGGAGTTTTTAGCTGGAGATATGTTTCAAAGTGTACCCCGTGCCAATGCAGTCTTGCTGAAGGTAACTAAAGCCACCTTGTCACTGAATTTCTGATTTTTTTTTAATAGCAGAAAAAATTTATGATTTTCTTATTAAGTTTTCTGTTTTTTTCTCTCGTTTGGAATCGATTTGCACGATTTGAAACTTATATCGAATCTCTCATAGTAATTTGTGATTATATCGGCAATTAAACAGCGGATCCTTCATGACTGGAGTGATGAAGACCGTTTGAAAATTCTCAAGAACTGCTAAAAGGCCATTCCAGAGAAAGACAATGGGGGGAAGGTGATCATTATAGACAGTGTAATGGTAAGCCAGATACAAGATAAGACATCATTTGAAACATGCCTTAAAAACTTGATAATATTGTATGTAAATATTAGAGTTCACCCCCCCCCCCCCCCCGGGGGGAACAAAAGTTCTCAAGATATACACGGGTACCTTCTTAAATGCACAAGTTTCCTAATTGTCCTCTCTTCACCACTTCCTCCTTCTTTCCTAAAATCTTAACCTCTGATTATGTTAGCGCTCTACTGTGTGAAATGTAACAAAAATAAAAAGCACAGTTAAACAGAGATTCAATTTATCTCTATTATTGTTCAAAAGAATGACACGAGTAGTTCTAGTAGTACAATTTGATTACTAAATTTTAGGGTTAAATGCCAAAAAACTCCCCATGAACTATATACCCAATTGCAGTTTACCCCATAAACTATAATAATAGAAATTTTGCCCCCTTGAATGATATGTTTGGACAACACTACACCTACTATCTTAATTTTTTTTCTTTTTTCTCTATTTGCTTTTTCATTTTTTTCCTTTTCTCCCTTTTTTTCCTTTCATTTTCTTCTTTTCCCTTTCTCTCATGGAACTAGCCAATGTTTCCCTCTAGTGCAAAAAGACTTACATTAAAATTTTTAATATTTTAAAACCACTTTTTTAATTTTTTTATTTGTTAAATTCATTCTTAAAAATTTATCATAAACTCTTTGTTATTACAAAATATATGTAACTTATACCGTAAAGTGTATTAATCTAGTAATTAAACAATTTAAGTACCTATAAATCAATTAAGAGTTCACAGTTACTCAACTACTTATAACAAAAGTAACATATTATATATCACATAAAAAAGAAAAGTTAACAATTGTTATTTGTAGTGAAATAAAAAAGATAAGAAGAAACAACAACAGTAGTTCATTTTTTATTTGTTATTGATACTACTAATAATGGATTAATCAATATCTCTATTTTGTTATTATATATTTGAATAGTTTAATTTCTTAAATGACATTGACTTCAACATTTGGAAAAAAAATTTTGCATTCCATAGAATTCTTTTATAAAATATTGACATATAAAATTAAGAAATAAACAAGTTGTGACTAATCTAGTACACTGATTTAAACAATGTTTAAAGAAAAAAAAAAGGAAGAATCTAAAAAGAAAATGATGGGGAAAAGGAAAAATAACAATGCTTAGGATAAAAAAGGGGTAGATTTGTCTAATAATATCATGAAAGGGGGCAAAGTACCAACAAACATAGTTTTGGGGGTAAACTGCAATAAGGTATTCATGGGAGATTTTTGCATTTTCCCCTAAGTTTTATCTGTGTGGATATATAAATTTCTAAAGGTACTTTAAGCTTTTATATCAAAAAATGATTTCATTGTTAATGAAAATAACATCCTATTATATCCTCAAAAGTGTTGCAAATAATTCAAAATAGACAAGTAACTATGTCTTCATGTAAATTAACTCAGAATATAATACTACATGGAGAATCCTATTTTTGAGGGATTTCAAAAAAAAAAAAAAATTGCAATGTTAAATGTTAGTATAGTATCTAAGTACAAGTGGAGTGTGCATTTACAAGATAAATTCAGCCTAGCAGTTGCAAAACTATTTTTAAAATATTTTTCTTATATAATAATGCTACCCAATCAGGAAGAGCTCAACCCATTATTTTCCATGGCGCAGGAGAAGACTATGCGTTTGGCTCTTGTGCATTCCGATTTCATCCAGAAACTGGTAATGCTTTTCAACATCGGCCAGCATCCTGTCTATGGACGGCAAATTCACTTTTCCAGATAAAACGCCAGCTACCCAGAAAAAATATTGTCCATTTGTCAAAAACAAAAATGTCAAAATTAGCTGATCAAAATTGACTCTAAAGTATTAATTAAGTAAAATCATTTTCTCTCTTAATTACAAGAACAATATTAAGACTAACCCGGTTCGATATTCCAATAAAAGAAAGAATTGAAGCAAGTTGTGGAGGAAAGACGTGCTTGTAAAACGGACGAACTTGGTTGTCATCAATAGTAACAATCCCCTTTGTGTTTCAAAAATGAAAATCATGTTTGAACCTTCTTTTTTTTTTTGGCAAAAATCCCCAAACCCGGGGAGGAGGTGCCAACTCCTATTTTTATTGGAGAAAAAAAAAAACAAAATAAGAGTGTCAACAAGATAGCATGCGTCAAAGAAACTAAGAAATCTATTCCCTTACAATCTGACGACGAATACAAAGGCATTCGTCCCTATCTAAAACTAAAGATGCCCTGACTCAAAATGGTAACTGGCAAGGGGAATTGTAAAAAACATCTTCATTGAATTGCAAGGCCGCTAGCTTATCTGTAGTAGCATTTGCCTCTCGATAAACATAAACAACTGAGGCAGCCAACTCTTGGGAGAGCCCCCTAATCCATCGTAGAACATTACATAATGGCCATTTGGCTAGCGCTCCTGAACAAACCATGTGAACCAGGACTTTAGAGTCCACCTCCACCAATAGATGATTACAATCCCTTTCCTGGCAAAGCAACAGGCCATACATCAGCGAGAGACTTTCAGCTGTCAACACATTAACATCTCCAAATTCTTTATACAAAGCAAAGATGTGCTCACCGTAATGATCCAGTAGAATACCGCCCCCTACTTCTTTTCCAACTGCTACACTGGCATCCGTGTTCAGTTTGACGTGAAATTGAGGGGACGAAACCATTTCATCACCATAACTGAGGGATGATGAAGTCGAGAGGAGGCAAAGCCAGCCCAATGATCATCCATGTCCCCACGAAAATGACTTGCAAAGAAAATCCTACGGCTCCCAACGGTTCAATAAAGTGATTAATCTTGACAATCACCTCTTGAACATTAAACCTAGCTCCCTCAAATCTTGCCCGATCGCGCATTCTTCATATAAACCAAATAATAATAGAGGGCATGGCACTACGAATGTGATACTTCAAAGTTTCTGAAGATGAATAAAATCAAGAAACCCGCTTTGCCGAAAGTAAGGACTTCATGACATCAAGAATACCAAATCTTCTTGTAAAATGGTCCCAGACGATTGTAGCACTTGGCCCATGAAGCAGCAAATTACTCACCGACTCCTCCTCCTGTAGGCAGCAATCACATCTAGACGCTAAGGAGATGCCACGCTTTCTCAAAGTCAGATCTAGAGACAATAAGTTCGTCAAAGCACACCAAGTAAAAAAGGAGACCATTAAAGGCAGAATATTACACCAAAGTAACCTGTTAACCAACGTTGTATTCCTGCTGGAGCGCAAACCTTCCCACGCTGACTTGATCGAGAAACACCCTGCAGCCGATGGCAAGTAATGGTTCAAAGACTCGGCCGAGACCGAGACGACTCGGCCTAGTCCGAGACAAGACTGCGACGAAACGTTTCCGAGATACGTGACTCACCGAGATGTCACCGTGAAGAGTTGAAACGGTCGAGTCACACCGAATCACTCCGAGTCATCCCGAGTCAATTTGAATTTTTATTATTTTTCCTAATTTTTTAATTATTTTTAATTATCATATTTTTTATAATTTTTAGAATATTAAATATTTCAAAATTCGCGTCTCCCCGAGACCGCGACCGATATGCCGAAACCAATGTGGAACGGTCCAAACCACGACCGCGACTTTGAACCATGATGGCAACCATCCCATCACGTCATCTAGGTCAGGATAAAGAAAAAGCTAAGAGACATGTTGAACCAAATGGGCTGAAAGCCATTGCTGCAATTTCGATATGATCCATCCAGCCGACGTATAAAAACTCCACAACCTGCATATAAGGGGGATTATGCACTGCTACCACTTCAGTTATTGGAGCTGAAAGTAGCCAACGATCATACCAAAAATCCACAATCCCCTTACCTGAGCACCATCTGATCTTCTCCTCAACAAATAAATGGATCTCATCGAGTCTTCTCCAAGCCGTAGAAGGACGATGAACTCTGACTAGAGACGAATGCACCCCCTTGATATATTTTGGATGCATGAAGGCAAACCAAACCGAGTTATTCAAATGGAGCCGCCACAAAAGTTTGCAAGAAAAAGCCTGATAAGTATCTTCAAAAGAACGGAATCCCAAACTTTCCTCTTCCAAAGAAAAACAAAGATTATCCCAAGATGTCCAATGAACCCGCTTATTATCAACATTCTGATCCTACAAAAATGCATTACAAATGCTGCCTGGCCTTACAAACACTGCCTTGGGAGGATGTTAAACAGTTAGTAAGCATTAATCCCTTTTACAAATAGTTATATCCTCTTCCCTTAAAAAATTAGCAATCATATCATATTAATCCCCTTTGTAAACACTCCTGTCCTCTTTCCATAGAACAATATCAACCATGTCATCTTAATTGTAGTTAATTTTATTATGAATTTTTTTAACGAATACTCATTCGGTACTCTTAATATACCTAAATCACGTCTATCTTACTATAATAATACGCATGGTCACAATTAATGCATCCACTGCATTTCGACATTTTGCCGAGTTGATAATAGTTTTTTTTTTTAAATTATAACACTTAAAACTCTTTTAACTAGGTAACCATCAAGCACCCGTTAACGAAATCATTTTATTATTCTTGAAATGTA